ACTTTCTCTCAACTTAGCTTTTTTTCGATGACTCTTTTCCTCTCTCAAATCAGGGCCAAGATGGGAACAAAATAAAATCTTGAAACTAAAATATTTGATCTCGAAACTACAAGGACTAAAAAGAAATTTTGATAAAACCCCAAAGCAAAATTTAGCAAATAAATCATAAGGACAAATTTTTTCTTTTCTATAACATGGTTTTCTTATTCTTTTTCAATTTTAGTCCTTTAACTTTTAATTTTGTACAAATCATAAAATCAAATAGATTTTTCCAAATTCAAAAACCAATCCGATAGCAAGATCTTTTTCTGGGACTACAAAGTCTCAAAGAAAGCAATGAGAAACAAAATACAAAGACTAATTCCCAATAAACACAATGATAAAGGATCCAATTGGAAAATAAAATAAAATAAAGTACTGAAAAATAAAAATCATAGCACTGTTTCCGTGACTACGGTGGAAACACCAAATGTTTTAGGTTATTTTTATTTAATTCAATTATCATCTTCCGTGGACAGAAACTTATAATTCACTCCAATATTCAAAGGTGTGAGAGTGGTGCCAGTCATCCACTTGCTTTGCTCAGGAAAGGGTAATCTGTGTACCCAACAACAGGATCGTGGGTGTAGAAAGTCTCCCTGAAATACTTATTCAGGGGTGCCTTAAGCTTCAATCTCAACACTAAGTCTGGGTTTGAGATAAAATCTCTACCGTAGGATACCAAATATGCGTCACCTTCAGCTACAGCTTGTGTTCCCAGCTCCCTAGGGAACCCAGTACCAATGCATATGAAGGTACCCTGATATGCCCTCCTCCAAGTCCTGGTCGTTTGCGCCACCACATCTTCGGTGCCAGGTCTGCCTTACTGTCTTTGGACGTGGAGGTAGGTGATTTTTGAGCCCACCTTTATCTGGAGTTTGTTAATTCTCTCAATCACTGAAAGGCCTAAGTTGAGTGGATCAGAGTCTGTGGCATCATTGTGATCGATTGCAGGGGACGTTCGAAAAGTTCTGCGCCGACAGCTGAGACTACTGCCTGAATCACCTGCATTAAGAATCGGCACCGGTTTTCCATTGATCCACCATACTCATCTATTCTGTCATTGATCCCATCCTTTAAGAATTGATCAATAAGGTAACCATAACCCCCATGGATCTCATCCGCATCAAAACTTGCGGACAATGTTTTCATTACGAGCGTTATTAATCATTGATGTAACACATGGTAACCAGGTGAGCTCGAAAAGCACCTGTTTCGTTGTTTCGAGAGCTAAAGTAGCAGTCTAAGCTAATTATCCAGTCAATTAAGCCATCAACTTGAATCAACAATACCAGGTAACTAAAAAGGCCAATCATGATTAGAACTTCCATCATAGAGAGGTATCATCGTCACCCTTCAAGGAAAAATATAGTAAAGCATCCTCCGTTTTCTCTAGACAGGTAATTATGCCCATCTAAAAGAAAAAAACTGTCACATACAACTGCAGCTCCAAAACCTTGAAATAAAAAAAATAAATGTCATTACACTGACCCGCTCGAATGGTATTCAAGGCTGCCTGGCTATAATGCTCCACCACCTCCAGTATTTCAGAGGTTTCCAAGGCTCGAGGTGCTGGGTATGTGCTATAGGTCCCATCTGGCATGAGAATTCTCCATCTGGCATGAGAATTTTCCACCTGTTTGAGATGGCCTTGTTTGTTGATGAAATTGGTGCAGCCCCACCAGGTTGATAAACTGATGTAATGCCCAAATTCAAAAGGTAAATATCCAGTGCTTCAATAACAATTATTGGAACCAACAATGACAATAAAAAACAGTGCAAGGAAAATGCTGGTTGACCTAAAATGACACCAGGTTTATTGCAAGTTTCGTGATAGAGTAAAGTAAATTTACCTTGATGAGATGCACGGCCAACGTGCCACAGTTGACAGAATATGATGCTCCCTTTGGCATGAACCGCATTCACTACCTTCTTCCATGCATCCACTCGAGCATCTGAGTAAATTCCAGGCACATGGGAAACCTGGTTCCTCCATTAAAAGACATCAGAAAAATTCTATACAACATGCATGGCATAAACAATGCAATGTGAATATAGGAGAAAGCATTTTCATCAATGCTAAACATTAAATAACAATGACAAGAAAAAACCTTCAAGAATACACATAGATCAATGAATTAGCGGGTCCCATATAAAGATCATATGATCCAATACATAAACTTCTTGAAGTTTTTTTCTGAATGTTAAGCTTTTTTGTTATCGTTATGTCCATGATATCTTGCTAGATGATGAAGAAATAAGAGATCATAGATTCATAATTCTTTTTGTCGCTTTGAGCCAGATTAAGGGGGAAAAAATACACTGTCGGATATGGATCTTGTTCATCTATATGCTAGCATGGTGCTCCTTATGCACAAAGAACTTGTTTAGCAATAATGAGCATAAAATGAAATCCTATTGTTTTCCATCTTTAGGTGTACATAATTCCATGGATGCGAATTCCTATTGTTTTCAATCTAACGCGTACACAATAACTAGCATCATTCTATTGGTAGAAGTTTGTTAGAAAGCACTATAATTTATAAGGTTTCTTTAAGATATATGTCACCTCCTACAAAATTATCACCTAATATTCATTAAAAATCAAAAGTAGACGCTGTAAATGTTTTCTAAAGAACTTCACTCACATGCAGAATCAACAGCAAGAAACATGGTTGGTTGGTTTTTTTTTTTTGTAATTAGACTGCCTCCAGAGATAGCAATGTATGCCTTCTTGCCAACAGCTGACCTGAACTTTTCAAGAAGCGGTGCAAGTGCTTTAACTTCATCGACCGAGTGGGCATAAAAGAGTGCATCTATTTTTTGAGGGTGCATTGCTGCCCACTGAGTCACATAACCAGCAGACAGTGCTTTCCACCACTGATCATCTCGGACTTGAACAATGTCCTTGAAAATTACAGTGGTTTCAGAAACATAAGCAAGCCTGTGCTCACTATCACCCCATGTTTCCTTATCGTTTGGATCAACTGGAAGCACAAATGAACCAGCATTCCTGTACTTCTGAAGCTGGTAGCTGCATATGTTGGATACACTTTTTCTTTTTCTATTTATTATTTATTATATGGTACTATCTATCACACAAATTAAACTTAATATTATCTCAACAACTAAACATTACTTTAAACTTTAAAAGATATTAGATATGATATTTATCTTGCATATATGTAATCTATTTCCATATAATATGTGATATGTGGAAATAGATTATATATGCAATTGACGTACCTTATATAAGTATTTAATATAAAAAACCTACAAGTTATTTATGTTAGCAAGGAGGATTGTTAACAATTTATTAACATTATTATTATAATATATTTAATTTAGTAATGGATTTTTGATTGGAAGAGTTGAATTCTAGATTTAATGATTGGACAATGAAACTTCTTGTACTTAGCTCTATTTTGAAATCTAAGGATAACTTTAAATTATTTAAAGTTGATACTATTTGCAAGCTTACTGGTAATTTTTATTCTGAAGATTTCAATGAACAAGAGATGTATTATTTAAGATCTCAGCTATAATATTATCAAATTAATGTGATTTATCATAAGAGCTTTCAGAATATATCTATTATTTTTGAATTATATCGAGGATTAATCAAAATAAATAAGTTATAACACAATCATTTGATTAATATATTGATTAGTTTTATTTTGATTTTGTATGTTTTCATTATCATCAAAGAGTAAGCATTTACCGCTATAAAGTATGTTAAAAATAAATTTATGATGATTTACATTGAATGAGAATTTCTTGAAAATATCTATTTAGATTCGATTATAAATAAATTTTATTCCACAAAACATCAAGTGTATAATTTTAATAATAAATTTATTTTTATTTTAATTTTAATTTTATATATTTTTAAATTTATTTTTTAACATTTTCAGCAATGTATTTGAACTAAAATTTTATTGTTAACTATAAACCATAATACAAATTCCTACCCATCAACTAGAAGAACATAGGAAGTTAAGCTTTAAAAGCTTGGAAGCATGCTTCAATAAATGTCTTCACCTGAGCAAATATATTTTTCCAAAGTCACAGCTCTGCTTCTAACCTTTAGTTTATTTGGTGGGCATTGGTTGAAGATGAAGATGAAGAGAAAATAAGTTTCACTGGGTAGAGGGTTTTGGTGGCCAAAGCAGAGATTGAAATAAAAAACAAGTTCAATTATAAAATTGATTTTATATTGTAAATAAAGTGTACTATTGTGAAAGTTTTAGTTTTTTTTTATATAGATTAATAATTATATGTTTTATGGTAATTTACATAGATTAATAATTATATGTTTTATGGTAAAATTAGAAATTTATATCTATTATTACACTTACACTCTAGACACCCATAAATCTAATGATTAAAATCCAAACTATCAAAATAATAAGAGCCAGTTTTATTGGGGTGTTTGATAAGATAATATTATTATTTTTTAAATTTTATTTTTAATATTATTATATTAAAACAATACTAAAATAATTAAATTTTTATATAAAAAATTCAATTAACTAAAAAATTATTTTAAGAGTGTAATAACAGTTACTTTTTAAAGTAATTTTTATTTTAAAATATATTAATTTTTTTATTTTTAAAATAATTTTTAATACCAAAAAATTAAAATAATTTAAAAATATATTAATTTAAAATTAAAATTAAAACAAATTTTTTTAATTTTTTAAAAATATTTTCCAACTACAGGGTAAAACACTCCATTAAAGTTACACGGAAAAAAGCTTCTTTTTTTTTTTCAAAAGGAGGAAAGGTAAATTGCAACGGCTACTGTTGGGCCCACAAACCGTAAAAACAGGAAGGGTGAAATTAGCTAGGAGCAGCTGGAGGTGCAAAAATTAAAAGGTCACCATCAATAATAGAATAAAAGAAGGGACGAAATCACCCGGGAGCTGTTGGAGATAGTACTCCACCAGAGCATCCCCCGGTATCCCACCTAACGCCCTGCATCTTCTCAAGGGTGCTAGCACCACCCTGTATCCAAAAATCAGATCACAAAAATGCCCTCCCGCATCTCTCTCTCTCTAGATTTCTGGGACACCGGACGACTCCTTTTCTTTTTAATATCTGAAATGGAAACTAACTACTGGGCAATTGAAACTAGAGAGAAAGTGGGATGAACTGACCTGTGAGAGAGGCTGAACTTACCCATCTTGTAAGGAGAAAACAGAGAGGTCCCTTTTTCAGCCGTTGTCCTTCCTTTCTTCCCCTATCTCTCTCTCTCTCTCTCTCTCTCTGTCAGCGGCTGTAGTTTTTCTCTCCCTCTTTCTCGGTCTCCGTTTCTACAAAAGGATTGATTCCATCCCTACGATTAAGGTAAGGTTGTCTCTTCTTCTTCTTTTTTGGTCTTTCTTCTAGATTTTTCTCTCTTGTTTTTTAATTAATTTTCGGTTGTTTATTTGGTTCTGTGAGATAGAAATTACGACGTTTGATTTTGTTAGATCGTCCAAAATTATTATTTATTTATTTACTTACTAATCAAATTTGATGAGAAGTTAAATGAAACGGAATTCTAATTTATTAATTTAAATGAAATTTTTGCATGTTACGGCTTCTCAATGCTGAATTATGTGAATGAATGAAGAAAGTTGGTTTTTTTTTAATTGATTTTTCAATAATTTATAGACTAGTTGATTTTATAGAATAATATTGAAGGTCAAGATTTATGTTTTAATCAGTAGCTATGTGTTTTTGGCAGTTTTTACAGATATATGATGGTAATAGATGCTGTTTTCGGGTATATGGGGGTGTGCTTTAGAGAAATCTTGACTAACAACGAATGTTCTTTGCTGTTTTATCAGCAATGAGTGGTGATGGATTAACATGTTTTGTTCTTGTTTTTATTTTTATTTAGATCCTCATTTAAAAATTTAAATAAGGCTGAGTGATAACACCATATCTTTTAAGTTTAGTTAAGTGTGGATCCTAAATATATACAAGTCTAGTGAATTATCAAATTCAACATCTTTCGGTTTAGCCAAATATTGAGACCATATACATATAGACATGTTTTTTCTTTGATAAAGTCATACATATTTTTCCTTTGATAAGTCAAAGATGTTTTTCTCTTTAACAAGTCAGAGATATTTTTTGTTTTTTGACACATTAGAGGATTGAATGTTATCAACCAAAAAGAACCTTTTAGTCCTTCCCTCGATAAAAAAAAAAAAAAAAAAGAGATAAGAAGCATGGGCTATAAAAACACATTGGATTCTTAGAAAGCCTGACTCTCAATCTCCATTCTTCATGACAAATTTATTTTCAAGAGTCTATTTCTAAAATATTATTGTATTTTCTCTAAAAAAAATATATTTACTTAAGCATTATAGAATTCTTAAATCCGTAAAATGAGACCTTTTGTAGATATCAAATACCAACCATTGACTACTTGGCAATGAAAAATGAATCAGATTGCTAAAACTAAAAAATTAACCGATTATCCAGCATATATACCTTGTTATCAAGCTACTTGGATTTTTAGGGACATTATTGAATCAATGGTGCCATCTATGGAAACCTAATGAAAAAGTTATCAAAGGTGGATAATCAAAATAGTCCTGGAATGAAATATGTCACGGATCTTCATATAGTTATTAGCACATTTGCTCCATAAGAGCTTTAACAAATCTTCAATAAGTAGGAAATGCCATGCATCAATTTAATGAGACGAGCAAGTTTGGGCTAGGTGTTTATCATCTTTATAAATGCAGTTGGAGCCTCAGGCTTTTGGAAAGTTTTCAACAAATACAAGTGGGATGTTGGTTCAATCGTAAAAACTATGAAGTTTGTTTGTCAACCACCCATAAGACATCTACTAGGGAAATTATATTCTCTTTTATTTTTTAGAGTTGAGGCCATGATCTCAACATAAATGTCATCAAGATTATTATACCTCAAGTGGCAATAAAAAATATATCATGATCAATGATTAGGAATGTAAGTTTTTTATATATGAATTATCTTAAGTGGCAATAAAAAAATGCATCATGATCAATGATAATGATTAGGAATGTAATTTTTTTATATATAAATTAAATTATTCATAGTAATGATGTCTTCTTTTCTCTTGGAGATATCATGGCAACAACCTCACAACTTTCTAAGGATGGAATGAATTCAATCCGGTATCCCTAGCGTGATTGCATAATAATGTCTGAAATAGAAACTAACTACTGAATCAATCCGGCAGGTGAAACTAGAGATAAAGTGGGATGAACTGACCTGTGAGAGAGGCTGAACTGGCCCATTTTGTAAGGAGAAAACAGAGAGATCCCTTTTACAGCCATTTTTCTTGCTGTCACCTCCTTTCTTGCACTATCTTTTTCTCTCTCTTATCCATCCAACAGTATCTCTGTCAGCGGCAATAGTTTTTCTCTCCCTCTTTCTCAGTCCCGGTTTCTACAAAGGATTGATTCTATCCTTATGATTAAGGTAAGGTTGTCTCTTTTTTTTCTTTTTTTTTGTCTTCTTCTAGATTGGACTCTTGTTTTTTAATTAATTTTTGATTTTTTTATTTGGTTTTGTGAGATATAAATTACCTCATTTGATTTTGTTAGATTGTCCAAAATTATTATATAGGCTGGAGATTTATTTTTTTATGTCTGAATCAAATTGGATGAGAAATTAAATGAGATGAAATTTTAATTTATTAATTTAAATGAATTTTTTGCATGAATGGAGAAAGTGAGTGTGTTTTGAAGTGAATTTTCAATGATTTATTGACTTGTTAATTTTATTGAATAAAATTGAAGGTCAAGATTTATGTTTTACTTGGCTGTTGTGTGTTTTTGGTAGTTTATATATATATGTATGCATGTATGTATTTATGATGGAATCAGATGTTGTTTTTAGGTACATTGGGTGTGCTTGAGAGAAATCTTGACTTCCAAATAATGTTCCTTGTGGTTCTTTCAGTAATGAGTGGTGATCTATCAATATGTTTTGTTTTTATTTGAATTCTAATTTTTAAAAAAATCAAAAGTCGGGTGATAATCCAATATCTTTGGATTCAGTTAAGCGCTAAATCCAAGTATATACGGATATGATGAACTACCATATCCAGTATCCTTGGGCTTAGCCAAACATTGAACGCACATGCATAGACATGTTTTCCCTCTAATAAAGTCAGAGATATTTTCTCTATAATAAAATCGGAAATATTTTCCCTCTAATAAGCTAGAGATTCCTCCCTCCTTAATGAGTTAGATATATTTTGTCTGTTTGACACATAAGAGGATTGAATGTTATCAGTAAAAAAAAGGATCTTTTAGTCCTCTCCTCAATAAAATAAAAGGAAGCATAGGCTATAAAGACATTGTATCTGTAGAAGCCTGACTCTCAATTGTCATTCTTCATGACATATTTATTTTCAAGAGTTTCTCTAAAAAATATTATTATATTTTCTCTTAAAAAAAAATTCTTACTTAAGCATCAAAGAGTCCCCAAATTTATAAAATGGAACCTTTTAAAGATTTCAAACACCAATCACCCGCCACCATAACAATGAAAAATGAATCAGATTACTAGAATCAAAAGATTAACAGAATATCAAACACATAAGACCTGTTTCCCAAGCTACTTTGATTTTTTAGTCATCATCAATAACATCAAGTGGAAAAGGGGTGAATATATATAATTTGATAACTTAGTGATCTTAAATTTAAAGATTATTTATATAATTTTCATGTTAGTATTTTCATAGACACGAGTAATATTTTTATATGGAATTCTTATGCTAGTTAATTTAGTGTATGTTTTATTTAACAAGCATATGTATATTAGTTCTAGGTATCTATTATTCATCAACATATAAAAATAACTGTTTCCTTTCATAAAAAAAGAATATAATATTTACTAATTTCCGCTACTCTAATTAATATTCAATTTTAATATAACATTGACTAGTAATAATGCTTTGATGTAATATGAGTCCTTATTAATTATAACTATTTTATGATTTTCTTTATAAAATATTTTTTTTTCTCAATGACTTTATCTTTAATTTAGACTCGTTAACCAAACTTAAATGAATATTAAAGATAAAAAAAATGTGTTTATTGATAATAAAATATATATTTTGCATGAACAAAGTTAGTGCCACTTATAACCAGCTGATTGGCTACATGATATACACACTAACAAGTTGTTATTTGAAATTGGATTTATCACTGGCTCAAAATGAAGATCCCTACAGGCTAGGATATTTTTCCAAACCATAATGTTTCTTTTTCCTAGTGTTTCTTTTTCCTAGTGTCTGACCTTAAATGCTAAGGGAGTAACACAGATTGAGGTCTTGTCTTCATTGAGGTAAAGGAAGATATAACTATAACACTCTTATTTGTAAGGATGAAGAGGATTCCAACATGCTTCTTGAAAGGAAAATCATGGTAAGAGGAATTTAAGTAGGCTATCCCCTATATAGATCTCGGTTATGATTTGGTTTCACATTACTAAATCTTGGAAAATAGGCAGTTTCCTACATTTGAATCCACAATAAAACTCTAAAGATTTTTCTCTTTTCTCATAAAAGGTTGATCTTCAACTCTTGCTTGACTTTCTTCTAATTCCTTATATATGTGACTTAGTACATAAGGTTCTAACGCAACTACTTTACCCTTATTATGTTTTGGCTGGCTTTTTGGATTATAATGGATTGGATACCTGCATATCCAGTATAGCAGAAAGGCCATATGTTTTCTATATGAGAAGTAAGTTTGTGTTTTCTTTCAGTCTCCTCATCAGTGAGTTGACTTCATGTGCACCTAGTACTAAATCTTCAAAGGGATTTGTTAAAATTTATGTAAAAGACCGAAGCTTCTCACCTGCTAGGTGTAGGCCTTTAATTAAGGCCAAATCACGTAAATTGATGGTTTGCATTCTATACATGAATAGAAAGGCATTATTAGATTTCAACCAAAAGAGGGAGGATATGACTTTGGATAGCTATATGATGTAGGATATCTTTTGACATTTCTATTGTTCATCAAAACTTTGATGCACTACCTAACCATATGATATTATCTACAAGAAAAACGCTATGTCATATTAGGATCGATTTCTTGTAATTATTGAGGTTTATGTGGTCTTTTACAAAGGAAGTCTTTCCTTTTTGATATCCAGAGCAAGTGACGATCTTCTTTTTCTTGTAGTGCATTTTCATAAATTGGGTTAAGGCACTATCCATTTGTGTTTCTTGATGCAGTACTAATTGTGGACATGCAATATACATTATGCACAATTCTAGAAGCGGGTACCAAGTTTGGATTTTAGTGAACTAGATCTTGAGGTTTTCATTTTGGTGTTTTTGAGAAGGAGGAGGCTTAGGGGTCTTAATTCTTTTCTTGTTCTGAAAAAATATCGAGTTTTTTAAAGATTAGGGTTTTAAATTGAGGAGTTAATATTGAAAATTTGAAGCAAATAACAGAATTCTAAATATCATGCCTAAATAGCCAAAGCACACACTGTTTGGAATGGTTTAGCTTCCGTTTAGTATTGCGTTTCAAATGGAGGTTAAACAAATTTTAAAAATGTTTTTTACTTAAAAATTATTTTTTTATATTTTTAGATCGTTTTGATATTATTCTTTTATATTTTTAGATTGTTCTGATATGCTAATATAAAAAATAATTTTTAAAAATAAAAAAATTATTTTGATGCATTTTAAAGACATTTTAAAAAAAATTATTATTATATTTTCAAACACCTTTTTAATTGGCTAACAAGCCCGACAAAAGCTGTATGTGTATTTTTGGATAACAATGTGTGCTCTTTCAAACACCTTTTTAATTAGCTAACAAGCCCGACAAAGGCTTTATGTGTATTTTTGGATAACAATGTGTGCTTGTCATGTCATTATTGTTGATTTATTCAATTGATTTTAATATTAAATAACAAGGGATACGCCATTATATGTTCTAAAATAAAGGAATATGAAGGGTATAGACTGAATAAGAACAACAATGGTAAACTACCAAATAAAAAAAAGGAAAGCTAAATTGATAATGAGTATTAACATCTACAGAGAACAAGAAAAATTAAATCAAATCAACCAAGCAAGATAGGAAATGATTGACTAAGCAAGATCGGAAACAGTCAACAAAGGGAGTCGGAATTCATAATCTTCTAGGAGAGCTAAAAGATGTGATTGACTACGAAGGAATAATAAATTAACTATAAAGATAAGGATTTATGTGATTGACCAGATAATCAAGTCCTACTCTGAATAAGGGTCTCTAGCAGATTATATGACAAGAATTACCAATTAGTTAGGAAACATATATATAACTGCTAAGAAGAAGTATTGATAAGAATACATAGTGCAGTAGGATTCATGTTGTATGCTTTTATTTTGCTATAAACAACTTGTATAAAGTTAAGAATTGTAGTTGATGTAGGATTCAAATCATGTAACTATATATATATATATATATATTTAAAGCAATTGACAACTTTTCTTTTCATTCCTGTACATTTTGGACAACTTTTCTTTTCATTCCTGTACATTTATTTTCTTTTGCCTATTTCCTTTTAACTTTTTTTTTGTACCTAGCATCACTTGTAACAACATACCCTCTTTTTTTTTTTTATGAATCAGAGTATTGGACCTTTTCTCATAATTAAGTTATTAATTATAGTTTCCTCTCATAAATGAAAAAAAAAAAGGAAAAAGAAAAAAGAAAAGAAGGATATCATAAGTCATCCACAAAACTAGCTGCTTGATCAATACATTCTTAGACTTTTCGATGACAATGGCTACTGGAAGTTACAACACAACATATATAGCTCGGATTGCAGTTTATTATTGATCTGGTATCTTCCCTTCATCGAAATCCCCTAAATATTGATAAAGTATTGGCTGTTTTATCTCCTCGTGTCACATGAAGAATGAATCAATCTGTCATTCGAAGAGCAGCGAAAGTAGAAATAAGGGGGGTTGTGTTGATCTATTCACCCAACAAAGGCTCCAGGCTCTGATGGAATGATTGTCATTTCTTCCAGACTTCCTCGAATTTAGTTAAGTACTGTGTTGTCTATAATGATTGGTCGTTTTTTTTTAAAACGATTCAATCATACAATTATTTCTCTTGTTGCTAAAGTTGAACATGTTTAGAATATGAAACAGCTGAGGCCTATATTAACCTCTGTTTAGTATTTTACAAAATGGTTGCTAAAATCTTATCTAAAAGAATTAGTAGAGTGATAGATAGAATCAATAGCATTAATCAGAGTGCTTTTATTCGCAATAGACTAATCTCTGTGGCTCTCGAAATTCTCCATTACTTAAAAGCATTGGCATAGGAAGAGAGTACGAGATGGCTATGAAGTGGGATATGAGGAAGGTTTTTGGTAAGAGTAGAATATTTGTTCTTGAGAAGGAGGGTGCAAAGATTAGGGTTTGATCCAATATGGATCGGGGGGATAATGGAATGTATGACCACTGTTTACTATTCGATGCTTATTAATGGAGAATCTCATGGTTATATTCGGCCTACACGTTGTATCCGACAAGATGATCACCTTTCAGCTCCTCTCTTTCTTATCTGCCCTGAATGTTTATCCCTTTTGCTGCACGAAGCTAAATTGAATGGATAGATTTCTAGAATTAAAATTGCTGGACGTTGTCTTTTAGTGTCGCATTTACTTTTCTCATGCCATTGATGCTCAGCTCATGGTGGCCCTCTCTCTTTACGGTTTAAACTTTGTCCACTTTTGATACTGTAGAAATTGCCTCGTGGCAATCATATCATACAGGGGACTGGGGTTCTATGATTAGGGCAATTGGCAGATGCTAGGCGTTAGATATTGTTGGGTTGGACAAATGGCAGCGGGGGAGGTGGAACTTGCAGGCTCTAGGTGTGGGAATTTTGTTTAGGTTTGATGATTTGTTTGTTTAGGTTTTGACTTTGATTTGTATTTTCTGGGTGTTGGAGCCTCCAATGCATTTTTGAATATGGGTCTGAGATTTGTTGGGTTTTTTGTTCCATGGCAGGAAGATTGTTGGTTTTCACAGCTCTTGATGAGGTTTTTTGTGGTTCCTTTTTTACTCCTTTTTGTTTCCTTCTAATTTTAGATTTCTCTCTGTGCAAGAATAAACATTATATTTTTGTATTAGTGTTTTTTTCTTCTGGTTTTCTTTACTTGTGCTTTCTATTTATTGCAGGAATAATAATGGTTGGTTTTTTAAATATTTTTAATTTAAAATAATATTATTTTTTCTTATAAATTATTTTTGTAGTATTTGTTTTACCTTTTCCTCTTTTCCTCTTTATGCTTGTATTTTGGAAAAAAAATATTATTTTTTTATTTTGTATACTTTGAATATTCATCAATCTAAACTTAGCCTATTTATACCATTTTTTTTTGTCCTGCTCTCTTCATTCTTTTGTAATTTGTTTTTTAATTTCACTTTTTTCTTTTGAAAAAATTATTATACAAAGATCAAGAAAATAATGTTTCATTGTAACAATTACAATATCATTCTATTCATTTATTATATTAAAAATCAGCCTGAGATTTTACGTATATTTTTATTAACTTTTATTAACATATATGATCTTTATTATAATTTATTATATAAAATATTAGGTTTTTAATATAATTTTTTACTCGATGTGAAAAAATATATTAATAACAATTACACATTAGTTATTTTACATTAGAAAAAAAAATTAGTTGACTTATAATAAGACAGTGGAATAAATATATCAATAAAATCCTCTCTCGTCATGGCAGCAGCAAAGAAAAATAAAGCATCACCAAGTTCTTTGTAATAATTTGATCGATATCCACTAGAGATTAGGCTTGTACAATTGAAAATCTTGATTTATAAAGTGGATCTAATTTAATTGCAAAACACACAATTAAAATTACTTGACATGAAGAAAAGATCACTATCTTTTGATCACTGAACATCATTGCCGATAAAAACAGTGGCCATTCTAACCTACTATCCCTTCTTTTCATTCACTCGCAGCAATAAAATACAAAAGAGCAGCAGACATTCGTTGGGGAGAAGGGTGATGCCTAAATTAAACAGAAGGAAAAAAAGAAGAAAGGAGAGAAATTAGCCAAGTTCCCACTCGAGGAACATGATGGTCGTCTAAAATTAGTCCGTTGCATTGGCAAAGGCCTCCTGCTCTTCGGCTCTCTTCCAATGCTTCAATCTCTTCTTTCACCTGGAGATATCACATTGTGGAGAGTAGTCAAACTGTTCACTCTCCCAGCTTACCTTTGAGGCCACTATTTCATGTCGTGGAAAATACTCCTGAAACAATTATTGAATTGTAAGGAAGACTGAAATATTAGTGTTATTTTCTTAAGAGTTAAGGCGAGTTCTAACCATTGTAATTATTACAGATAATTAAAGGGCAGAAATACTAGCATTGAATTTCCCAAGTGTTTAGTTCGTGTATGTGAGGTTAAAAAAGATGGTAGAGTTATCACAAATAAAGGGCAGATTATTAATGGAAAGAGCGAATAAAGCAATTATCTGCAAGAATTTGTTTTTTTGGTAGAAAATGTAGCCACTGTAGTGGAGTATTATTATACCTGTGGAAAGAAATTACAAGGATTTCAAAGCTACATGTACATTACTCGGAGTTGAGAAACCTCTTAAAATAACATTATTTTATTTTAAAAATATAATCGATTTGGATTAATAAGCCCAACTCATAATTAAATTTGACATTTACATTAATTTGATTCTCAAGTGGAGTTTAATAAATAAGCATTCTAACCTCCATCTCCAATGAAGCATTCTAACCTACTAATATCTCATTCCCATTTTCTTTACACAAACAACATTAGCTATTACTATAGGAATATTTAACCCTTGTAGTTGGGTAGCAAGCATCTCCTACAAGAAAATTGAATTAAAAATAATAATGAGTACCTCCATTTTCTTGACCAGCTCTCTTGGAGTTGGGGCAGACACAATTATATGGCGTGCACTTGGATTAATGAAGCCTTCCTCTACTGCTTTGTCAATAAATGATAACAAGGAATTGTAATATCCATCCACGTTCAGCAATCCCACCTGCAAAATGTAACACCTACTGTGACTCTGCTTCTTTACTAACTACTGCCTCAGTTGATGCCAACGAAGAAGGAGGAGGAGGAGGAGGATATTGCACATCAGGATTGTTAAAACTTGAAAGTAACAGTACACTAATTGGATACAAGGGAGAGGTGTTTTACCGGTTTGTCATGAATGCCAAGTTGGGCCCAGGTTATGACTTCAAGAAGTTCTTCAAGGGTCCCATAACCACCTTCATTCAATCCCATGAAAAATCGTCAATCAAGCACTCCATAGTTGTAGTTTTAACACACACATTTACACTATGTTAGACTACAAGTGTTAGATATTAGTTTTTCACGACAGTCGCCAAAATTTAGGTGAATCTGCGAAGCCTAAAATCTCATAGGTTCAAATACGCACAGTTCCATCCATGTGGTCTCGAAATCATCAGGATAAGGATTCTCTGGCAGAAATTAGGACATTGCGTTGCGTTCCCCCTAGATAGGAAGTTTAAATGTATTTTGTGAAATGACTTCTTAAATTAGGAATGTAATGGGATCATGGATTGAAGGGCCAGCTCCAGTCTTGCATTATGACAGTAGGCCCAATTCATGGCCAGTTTTAGACAGAGTTTCATACGGCCGGACACATATTTAGACGCCAATCAGGGCCAGATTCTCATTTTGATTAGAGGAGAAATCTATGACTCGCACTTCCTCATGAAAAATTCTGGCAAGAGGACCATGCGGGAGAAGATTTTCTCTTAATGAGGTCAATTGGAGGGTACAATTATATACATGGCATGCAGGCCAAGGAGACTAGCATTGCATTGTTGTAGCTCAGAGAGAAAATGCATTTTGACCTCAGAAAATAAGAGCTCCCTAAATCTCAATTGTTCTCAATAGGAACAATTGACCTTGTTTTATCTGCATTTTTATGTCTTTATGAATGAATTTATATCTAGAGATAATTTATTTCTTCTTAAGATTTTGGACGATATATATATATATATATAAAAGCAATCGTAGTATTTCCAGGTATTAAGCTTGTACCGACCAGGCAAGGCAATAAAGGCGTCTGAATGTCTAGCCATTTCAGCCTTCCTCTGGTGCATATCAGCAACAGCCTTTACTTCTCCTACTGTTTCTCCAGTGATCTGTACAACATGCAGTGCCCTTGTCAACATAAAACAAATTCTTAAGACAGAGAGTTATCTGAAGAGAAGCAATGATGAGTGGCAGAGGTGGTGGGGTCAGACCACAGTCATAAAGCAGTAGAGAGGTGAAAGAAAAGGGAAATGGAAGAAAAAATAGGCACCCTATATTACAAAGCCTCATTTTCAGTCTTGTGCTTTATCGAACAAGGGAAGGAAAGAATATGAAAAGAAAATCCTCATTTTAAAGAGGTAGAATTTCATGTGAGAGTAGCTGCCACAAAAGACTTTCAAAGAACGACCAAAATCATTTAAGAAAGATTTAGAAAAAAGAAAGAAGAAGCAGGTCATTTCTCTTTTCACTCCCTCCCCCCCTCTGTCACTCTCACATGCACACACAGGTCTCAAAGATTCACGCCCTATTCAGTAAGAGAAGAGATACCTCTCTAGGCATGAGTGTCTTGGGGATAACTCTGCACACAATCAAATGAGAACAGTTAGCAGTAATAATTATTCACAAGAAAATAAACAAAAGACATTTTTCAATCAATGCATGTTTCTTCACCTTCTTGAATATACGAGGGAAGAAGATAGCTGAAAAGAAAAGTATACAAGAGAGGGAGAAACAAGAATGATAAGGCTTTACCCAATCACATGGCGGCCTCCATCAAAAACAGCTTGAGAAATTAACCCCATTAAACCAATACTTCCTCCTCCATAAACCAGGTCAATATTCCTTGATACCTTTAAAAAGAAAGAAGAAAAGAACATCAGCCACTGTAGTGAAGCGGCCATCCCATCAAAGTAGATTTTTATCTCTCTAAGAGTACAATGGACATGGATGTATAATGCAGCTAGCTCAGAGAAAGAAGTGGAGACTTAGAAACCAACATAGATACATATAATATCAAGAAGAGAAATTGATCATCTGTCCATGAAACAGAGCTGTTGAAGCCCATAAAAACAATGCAAGAGAAAGTAATGATCAATACTGATTACAATAGAAGGAAATGATTCAACCCAGAGAGCCATAACAGAGGAATCGGAATGGAAAACCAAAACAATAAACAAGTTGTGGTGACACTAAGAAACATATCCAATAAAACTAGAAAGAAAGAAAGAAGATTTGGAAGAAAAGAAGAAGAAAATTTAAGAAACAAAAGAAAACAGAGACAAAAAATTGTTTCTCTTATTACCAATTCTTTTCCAAGCTCAATAGCAGCATCCTTGTAGCTGCTTTTCTTTCCTGGACTACTACCACAAAACACACAAATCCTCTTAAATTTTGAATGCTTCATTTCTATTTCCATCTTCCTTTTCCTCTGTTTCTTTCTCAGAAAGCTAAGAAACACAGCTCTTATGAAGAAATATCCTCTCTGCCTCAATCCCTACTAGTGTCCCACCAGTACCAGTACTCCACACAAGCTTGGCAAAGTTTGAGAGCGGGCTGGCGCATTTATAGAGCGGTGGCTCTGGCGTACATTAGCACGCATAAATGTCCAATATGAAGCGAACCAAATCACGTTTTTGTTTTTTTGCTCCATCATTTACTCTTTTTTTTGTGTGTGATTTGATCCTTCAAGCTTTTTTTATTTTATTTTTTTAACCCCGTAAATATTTTCTTTTTACCCTTCAAACTTTTTTATTTTTCAGTCACAGTAATAATTATAATTTAATTTTGTAAAATTAACTCTCAGTAAATCATGAAATGATATTTAACACGTGAAGTACCGTGGGATAAAAAAATATTAAAAAACTATGAAATGTAATATAAGAGAAAAATACAATCCATTATGGATTATAATAATTACTCACAATTTTTTTTATTTTTTTGTTTTTTAATTTTTTTATTTTCAATTTAATCTTTTCACATTAAATAATAAATAATATAGAATTAGTTTGATGTTTTATTTTGATTAGTTTTATAAAAATTTCTGCACGTTAAGAATAAATTTTGATATTGAGTTATTGTTCTATTTAAAAAAAAATATTTTATTTTTTTCTAAGAAATAATATTTTTATTTCAATTCTACTATTTAATTTTTAGTTGGAATCAATAGATTTATTAGCACATATAATTTTTAATTTTTTTATTAAACATATATATAAATTTTTTTGATTTACCGTTAACGTTATTTTATGATAAAAAAACATTAACAACACCCATATCTTTTTTTTTTAATTGAGAAAAAAATTGATACATTTAACATCATATTGATATAAGATGTATTACAGTTTATTTAATAAATTTCTATATTTAACATTCTACAACTTAGGGCTAAACGATCATAACAAATGTTTGACTTACCACGGTTTGTATTTTACATAGGTAGCACACAAACCAATCAACTTTATTATTTTATTTTATTTTAAGGATGCTACTCAATTTATTGATTGTATCATTAATGAGGATTAAGATCATGCAATATAATATCAAAACAAAATTAATACGTCCTACGAAGTGTTTTCGCATAGCAATTAAAGGATCAGCATGCTAATTGCAACGTCAAGAAATATACTAATGATCCACTTATCACTATGTTATTTCCATTGATGTGATATGACGGTGAAAAAAAGAAATTTCATTCAGTCCAAGCTCGAATGGTCTCAACAAGCCTAAGTGTATATTTGGTATTGAGTTTTTAATTATTTTTTAATGTGTTTAAAATCATATTTATTTTAAGAAAAATATTAAATTGATGTTTTTTTAGTATTTTTTTTATAATTTTGATATGTTAATGTTAAAAATAATAAAAATTAATATATTTTCAAATGAAAAATATTTTTGAAAAACACCCTGCATAATAATCTCAAATTGACAATAAATAATCCAGTATCTTAATTTTCAAATAGCAACATTTCATGAATTTACTCGAACATGATAAATAACCTAAAACTGAGTTTTAATAGCCCACAACTGAGCTTTATTCTTAACTTTAATGATTTCAATACCAAACTTACCTCCTAATTTAGTACAAAGATACCTGCTAAATAGATTATTAAGCTCTTCTTCGTATATAATGAGAAAATAAGAGTACTATTTTTTTATGTGCAATTTAGTCTTTTTGTGCTTAAATTAGCACCAAATTACATGTTTTTTCCAAGAAGAAGGGTGAAAGTGCAAGACAAAGAATTGAAATAAAAAAAAAAAGGTAATATAGATGACGACTTTACAAGTTGTTTAGAAAGTATATTTCAGTTCTTCATCTTTGTTTGCTATCAGAAGAATAGTTCTTTTAATTTAAAAAAATTATATTTTAGTATAAAACTTCATTGTCATCATTTTTCAATTTTTTCATCAAAGGACCCTTTAAATAAGAAAAAAAAAACCCAGACATGTGAGTTTGAACTTTTCCTTCTTTTTTTTTTAGTTAACACCTTTTATTTGCTTTTTTAAATATTTCTTAAGTTTGTTTTTAATTAATACCCCTCTTATGTCATTTATTTTGGATTATATAGCCCTTTTTAAATAGAAATTATTTCTTAATTATATTGAGTGTTTGTAATCTTTGATGAGGTTAATATGATTCATTTATTATTTTTTATATATATTTTTCATATAGATCAAAATTATTTTTAAAAATTAAAAATATTTATTTTCATAAGTAATATAGGTGATGACTTTATAAGTTGTTTAGAAAGTATATTTCAGTTCCTCATCTTTGTTTGCTATCAGTGTTTGCTATCAGGAGAATAATTCTTTTAATTTAAAAAAATTATATTTTAGTATAAAACTTCATTGTCATCATTTTTCAATTTTTTTCATCAAAGGACCCTTTAAATAAGAAAAAAAACCCAGACATGTGAGTTTGAACTTTTCCTTCTTTTTTTTTTAGTTAACACCTTTTATTTGCTTTTTTAAATATTTCTTAAGTTTGTTTTTAATTAATACCCCTCTTATGTCATTTATTTTGGATTATATAGCCCTTTTTAAATAGAAATTATTTCTTAATTATATTGAGTGTTTGTAATCTTTGATGAGGTTAATATGATTCATTTATTATTTTTTATATATATTTTTCATATAGATCAAAATTATTTTTAAAAATTAAAAATATTTATTTTTTATGATTTTTTAATATGTGCAGCCTTGCATAATATTGTTTTCTTTTTATTTTATTCAATAAATTTTATGTGTTTGTCAATTTCTATTATAAATTGATTATAATAAATAAATTCTTTAAACACAGTCGGATAAATAACTCGTGTTGCGCTTTCAAATATCTTAATATATATATTTGTCTCTTAATTTTTTTAGTTTTGCTTTTATTTATGTAAATTTTTTTATCAAGTTATTCAGACCTCATGATCTAGAACACGTGATAGACATGCAATCTAGACATATCTCATATTCAAGTCATGAATTTAACATGTAAATCTAGCTTTGCCTAAAGTATTTTTTTTTTGTTATTATTTTATTTTTTTATCTTATTATCAAATTAACCAAAATTTAACTCCAATATCATAATCTTCTTACTTATTTAAAAACTTAATTGTCTCCAATTTTTTTTTTTTTTTGGTTTAAGAAAAATTGAGTAAATAACTCGTGTTGCGTTTTCAAATATCTTAATATATATTTGTCTGTTAAATTTTTTTAGTTTTGCTTTTATTTATGTGAATTTTTTTATCGAGTTATTCAGACCTCATGATCTAGAACACATGTAGACATGTAATTTGGACATATCTCATGTTCAAGTCATGAATTTAACATGTTAATCTAGCTTGGCCTAGAGTATTTTTTTTTTGTTATTATTTTATTTTTTTATCTTATTATCAAATTGACCAAAATTTAACTCCAATATCGTAATCTTCTTACTTATTTAAAAACTTAATTGTCTCCAATTTTTTTTTTTTGGTTTAAGAAAAATTGATTCGGCCTGCTACCAATGTAGTATAATCTTGTAACATAATTCATCAGGGAAAAAAACTATATATTCATTTAGTTGTTACGAATTGGGGTTGTCTTTCCCATTCACGTTCTTTACCCTTTTGTTTTTTCATTTGTGTCCTTTTTATTTTTATTGAGCTCTTTTGCTTAATTTTTATTTAACACTTATAATTTAGTTTTGTAAAGTTAACGCACGATAAACCATGAAATGATATTTGAACATGTGAGACAATATAAAATTAAAAAAATATTAAAAATAAATGATAGATGATGGAAATGCATATAGAAGAAAAACACAATTTAATATGAATTACAATAGTTATCCATAATGTTTTTTTTTTTAATTTTACATTGTCACTTGACTTTTTTTATTTTCAATTTAATTCTTTCATATTAAATTAATTTTGATATTTTATTGCGGTTGATTTTATATGGAGCTCCTGTTATGTTAAAAAAAAAAGTTTTGAGATTTAGATAATAGTTGATTTGAAAAATTAAAACAAAATTTTGTTGATTTAAATTAATTAAAACTTTAGAGATTTAATCTTGAAATTCAACCTTTTTCTAAAAAAAATAATAAATTTATGTACGTATAAACTTTTTATTTTACAGTTAAAACTTCTCTCGATGGTTGAAAAACAGTTAACAACGTCTTCACTGTTGCTTCAATATGCTAGAACTAATAATTAATCTTACAATTTGAACCAAAAGAAAAGGGCGTTGAACTAGCTACACCTTGAGTTTCCACGAAGGAGAGGCTAGCTTGGAATATTCACAGTTAGCTGAAATTGTGCCCCAAACGCATATATGATATCGCGAGGTCGGCTGCTTATCCTTCTACTAGTACCATTTGCACGCCCGCGTTCAAATTAGAGGTATCTGCACCAAACTTTATTTCACCATTCACATCTATGGTTCAACGATACAAATTCTTTACTTTACTATAAAAAGCCAGCTGAAATTCCAATACATAAACGTCGGTTGATCCCCTTAGTTATTCTTCGGTGCCAATTCCACAACTTGACGTTTCAGCTGGTATTCGCACCAAACCTTACACTAATTCTTCACCTGTTCATAAGCTATGTTACAAATTCTGCACATATAATGCCGGTGGGCTATTCTCTTCCCTTCTGTCTGTCGCTTTTTGTCCCTCCCTTTCCTTTTTCTATCGAATAACTTCGATTCACTACACTCTTTTGGTAAGACAACGGTCTTGAGTACGCATGGCTTGCATCCCAGTTACAAATTAAGGGCATTGAACAATGATTTGCCCCATTAATTGTTTTCATCAGTTTATGTTTTATGCTATGTTCCTCGTGAGTATTCTGAGGATTGGAACCAGGGTTGATCAGTTATAATGAATTCCCTCATCTTTTAAGTTTAGTTGGTAAAAAAATGCATGTATCCAAGCATATATGTTGAATATATGTAGTCGTAGAGGATTAGTCTGATTGATATATGAATTTACTCTTTATAGTATATTATTTAGGATGCAAGCATTAAAAGAATAAAAGAACATAATTTACAAA